TGGCCCTCCCCCCACCCCCCAAAATTTTTCGATGGCCCTCCCCCCATTTTTCTATGTCGCTTTTAAAATTGTTAAAAACTAGATTTATGCCGTGTACTACGTGATTGTATGGTAACCGTAGCGGGAAACGTTCCATGTTCGGGCTTGTTTTCATCGCCGGCCGCAGCCGACTTGCAAGACGTCACCACCGCATCGAAAGGTAAGGCAAGTGCGGCGAAACGTACAGCTTTGGATCCCGGAGAGTGCACGTGTTGGTGATCAAGGTATTTGATGCCTCAGGCGCCGGCCTTGTATTATCGTAGTGCAATCTAAGTAAGATAAAGATTAAGAAAAGGAACCAAAGTGTCGCACAGCCTCGAACAACAGTGCTAGCCTCCACCAGGCGTAATTCTACAGGGGTAACTGGGTATGAATCTTAGGATTCGGCAAAAAAGGGAAGAATACATTCAACACCACACCACACCTCAGTTAAGTGACAGTGTTCAACACCACCCTTTCCCAACCCAGCATAGACAACATACCAACCAAGGACAGTCATCCTTGCCTAACTGTCATACATTTTTGCCTAGGGGGCGTATTTTCATTTTTCTCTTTGTTCTAAAGGAATGCACACGGCTGTGTCAGCTACAGTTTTGTGTCAGATAAAGTCCCTACAAATATAATATAAATCTACATTTTTAACACGGTAATATTGACATACAGTACATACATCATAAGGGTGAGAGCTGCCACATGTACTGAATAAAGTTAAAACCATCAGATTTAAAGCTATATCTGTATCTGTATAGCCGGTATAACCACCCTTCTGTGTAACACACCAGCTTCTGTATCTGTATAGCCGGTATAACCGCCCTTCAGCGTAACACATCAGCTTCTATATCTGTATAGCCGGTATAACCGCCCTTCGGCGTAACACACCAGCTTCTGTATCTGTATAGCCAACATAACCACCCTTCTGTGTAACACACCAGCTTCTGTATCTGTATAGCCGGTGTAACCGCCCTTCTGCGTAACACACCAGCTTCGTAGGCATGTGGCACGCGGCGGCAGCTAGCTAAGCTATATCACACCAAACAACTTGTTAATGTTACACTCAATCTTTGTAGGAGTTCTTTAAAGCTAAAGGAGTTGCTAAAAGATTTGACACAATTTCTTTACACATAAATGTCTGACTGTCCATAGCCCCTCAGTGAAAGCATCAGCCATGCAGGTGGCACAGAGAGGCCTGCAGGTGTTGGTGCCGGCCGCGCAACACTTTTCACGGAGTCTGCCAGCACTCACTGTCACCTACAGGTGGGACACCATACAGCAGCGCCTCCTACAGACAGGTCAGTGGTATTGCAGTTCTAAGGGCTGTGATTACACCTGTATGAGCATATCATGAGATGAGCTCAGCAACTTGTAAGTTGAGTTGGGAAGTAACAGATTTAAGTGAATTTCAAAACAAATGTTTAAAGGTATTTACAAAAAAAAGAAATACACAATGTCATGTACATTCAAACCTGTCCAAGAAGGCCACACAATGACTAGAGGTAAGAGTTTTTTTGGACAGGTGGTCTGCTTGGGCAGGTTGCTTATAATGCTTGTACTTATGGAAAAGAAAATAAGTCATTATGGCTGATATGAATCCACTGGGAACCATTTGTCCACTACCACACAAAATCCGCCCTTTCTTAAGTTGTAGAGTAGTCCTGTTACAACCCCCCCCAGGGAAGTAGAACAGTCTGACCCAGTAACCTCACTCTGCAGTTCCTCAAAAGTCCAGTTTGTGACCAGTTCACTACAATCTAACAGCAAGAACCTAACAATGGCTAGGCGGTCAGCTTGAAGAAGTGGCCACTTGGGCAGGTCACTCACTCACTCAGTTCTCTTGCACGATGTGCGTCGAGCCTACTAGGTGGACCACCTCCCTCCATCTTGATCTCTCCTGGGCGAGCCCCTGCGCTTCTTCGGGGGTGAGGTTGACCAGGGCCAGGTCCTTGGCCAGGACGTCCGTCCAGCGGGTGCGGGGGGCCCCCCGAGGTCTCTTCCACCCAGCGGACTCCCGGGGGGCTGAAGTTCAGGATAGCCTGTGTAGGGTGGTCGGGTGGGAGTCGTAGGACATGTCCGTACTGTATAAGACAAGAAATCAATATTTGAGGAAATTGGGAGTAGCAAATGTTTAATGTAACTGTTTCTCTTGTATACCTAGCGTCAGGAAAAGGTGACAATGCCTTCCCTGCAAGAACCACTCAAATCAGACAGGGGGCACTACAGGCACACCAGCTTGAGCTGGACCTGTCCGAGGAGACAGCCGCTGCGACAGAAGAGCTAAGCTTCGACGATCCGACACAGGCCTTCAAAACAAAATCCACCTGGGAGATCGCACGGGCGCTACTTGTACTCCGACTGTGCTCCTTTGATGTACTGGTCGACAACAGTCTTAAGGTGGGCAGGCTCGTTAAAGGCTCCGGCAATTAGTAATTAAGGAGTGCATCTGTGCATGTTTACAGAAGGATTAATTAAATAAAAATATGGTAGTTTGTTGATAATGATGGTCAACAACAGTCTTCAGTTAAGGTAGGAAGAAGACTTGTTAAACATGAGCATCATAATACGTAGATACGGTAATACAAAATAAATCAAGCACTGGAACACTTCTCTGAAGGGACACAGATGTAACTTTCAGGTAGCGTCCACTGTCTATCAGGGACTGAACATGCTCAGTCATGGAAAGCTATGACTATGATCTATAAGATAGATACAGAAAGAGGCAGATTGCATTTAGAAAATGGT